AAGGTTGTAACTAAGATAAGAACAGGGAAGCTGAATAAGCAATCTAGGAGGAAGATCTGGAGGAAATCCAGTCCAGAATCCTTTTGATGTGCGGATCTGAATCAAAAAGCCCACGGTCCATTCCAAGCCAGGATATAAACTCAAATCGGAGGCTGCCTCTCACACTGGTGGTGAGAGGAAGCTGAACTGCAGCTTTCCTGTAGACCTACGGGAAGATTCACCTGTGAATCAAGATGTCCTCATCCTCCAACTGAGAAGAACCGATCACACTAAGAATGTCATTTCTGCACTGGGCCTGTGTGTATCCCTACCAAGAGGTCTGCACTGGGTGAACAAGGATGCAGCTGCTGGCAATGCCCGTCTTCGTACCAGTAGCCTAGGGTTGGCTTTTTAGTCGTCTTCAAAATGATTGTATAAAGTAAGAGTTATCTGTTGAAGCAGATGCAAATTCTTTGTAACACCCCCCCACAAACTGTGCCCCCACAAACTGGAAGCGGGACAGACACATCACGAACGATTTCATTGAAAGGGATTTGACTCTTGCCTGTTTGCGGGACCTCATTGCTGCTTCTTCTAATGTCTCAGCCGCCTCGAACTTGCCTTGGCGTCTGTAAAGTGCTCCGAGATTCTTTAAGGTAGTTGTGACTGTCGGACTATTAAAAAAAACAACAACGCACTGCAGTTAATTTCGGATAGCAGAAACCCAAACTTGACATCAATAAATGTTTATTGAAGTCTCAGTCTCTCTTGCAAACAGTGCTATGCATTTCCCTTTGGGCTGGCTGACGGTGGTCCATTTCAAGCACTCTTCACCTGAGAATGAGCCTTCCCTTGTTGCACCAGCGGAAGGCTCTTTGAGCCAAAGTAGTATGCCTGTGCCAGCAGAAAGAATGGCAGGCCCTAGCTCAGTATGCATTATTTAGCGTCAATTTAAAATAGAACGTTTTGCTTTTTAAAAAAAATGTATAACCTCCTCTGCAAGTCTTAAGGCCTACAAGTTCAGCATTGTATTAATGCAGAGGGAAAAGTTCAAAGCTACAGCGTCCTCAAAGTTCCAGATCTGCCGGATAGCAAGCAAAAGTAGAATACCTACAATAAAATAATTAAATTAACCATCATATGTTCAATTCTTAGCATGCAGAGGAGAGAAGAGTCTCTGGTACATCAAACGGCAGCAAGATGTCCCAGATTTAGTGAACTATATTAAAAACGGCTTTTCTAATCAAGACTGCCAGATCCCACTGTCTGACTCACTCATGGGAGTATCAAAACTATTATTATTATTACTACTACTACTTCCTGATAAGCTAATATCCTGAACGTTTCGGTCTAATTAAATGGTATTTCTGAAATCGCAGAGAATAAAAGGGAAAACTGTCTTTTTCAAGTATGTGACTACCTTGAAAGTCCAGGGCTGTGGCATTAAGAAGATTTCTTCACAATCTCTTAGAAAAAAGCATGCCAACTAGAACCCTCTTGTCGGTGCAGGAAATATCAAAGAGCCTGGTCCAATTTTAACTAGACTTTCTGTATAGAAAAATTGCTTTCTGCTTTCTATATCCACATGCCTTCTCCTGTGATGTCTTTTTGATAACATGCTGTGTCTTGTTTCCTGTTGCAAGCCATATTGTTCTGGAAACCAGAGAGGGTATAGACCATCCCGTGGTTTGTTGTTTAATGTACTGAAAAAGTACAGGGTTCCCTCCCATTCCTGGACTGGCTTGGGTGGGCTAATCCTGTACACTTTCAAAAAGGCATTATTTGCACAGCTAGCTGTACCAGTCGAACACACACCCCATTTACATCCATGGTTCCTAACCCAACAAGTAACAGCAGTGTGGAAGTTTGTTTATGGCATGATCTCCTTAGCTGGATTGGAACTTGAAGTTCTTATCATTCTGTTGTTATTTTACAACCCCCCACCACACACACACACACACACACACTCCCTTCGGTTGTCATCTGGGGCTTCTTGCAGGTGCCTGGCCCCAGATGGCACAATTAACTGTCACCAGGGGAAGGGCCTTCTCGGTTGTGGCCCCTACTCTGTGGAATGAATGCACTTTTGGATGACACCCGTGCCCTGTCTTATTTATTTGTTTATTTATTATTTAGGATGGCCTTTGGAGGGTAACCACATACATTGGACTCTTTCAGGGGTCACTTGGGGCCGGAGCGTTCTGGAGCACCGCTCTGGCAGCCCAGGAGCAGGCATAAATGGCGGTGGCAGCAAGCCCTGCCCCCAGCTAACCGCCCCCAAACTCCTTCTATCTATGGCCCCATAGAATACAATGGAAAGACTGCACCGCCGCTGCGGCACAAACTTTAAACCCCTGCTCTCTTCACTCCCCCCCCCAGCCCGCCTGGGGAAGGGAAGGGGAGGCTTTTGAAGATGCCTCCCCCCTTTTTGCTTCCCCTTCTTACATAACTTCTGGTAATGTCAGGGGGCGTGGCATATGCTAATGAGCTACTGTGCTAACAGCCTATTAGGTATGCTAATGAGCTCCTGCAGCTCTTTTTCTACGAAATGACCCCTGGACCGTTTTAACAGTGGTATGGTGACAGCCACATATTTTAATGTTAATATGTTATATTTGTTATTGGGTTTTGTGTTGTTTTTTAAATCTTATTGGTTTTAATGTTGTAAGTTGCCATGAGTTCCTTCAGGTGAGTGGTGACTAAAAAAATCTAATAAATAAATAATGTAAATTTAAGCGTTTTCAGACACTATACTTACCTATCGACTTTGCACGCTTTGTACCAGCCTCCATATTCACCAAAGGTAGTGCCATCTTTCTGCTTTCCCTAAATTGAGAACAGGGGATATTAAAGCTTATCTTTAATGCTAAAAGAGCAGAAGGAAATTTTGCCCCAGATTTCCTCTTACTTTGCATTCTTCTCTCTCTTCAGCATGCATCCAGATGGGCTTGTTTTCATCTGCATAAAAACATGACATTGAACACCACGTGAAATACAAGAATTGCCACATTCTGCCGGACCAGCAGCTTTTAAAAAAAAAAAATGTCTGAACATACCTGTACAGAGATACCAACCCCACCCAGACCAAAATGTGCAGTTCTAGGGATATCTTGTCTACTCTCAAGTAGCCATTCATATCCCTGTTTCATGTGTGCAAAGTTCTGACTTTTTGAAACAAGCTGAAAACTCGCAACGGAAGTAGAAAGCCATATTATCATACTGGATAAGAACCAAGACATATTAAAAAGCAAATGTCTGTTTTGCACATACTGCAACAGAAAAAAAAAGGACCTAAAAATCACAGTTGCAAAATTGTTAACATGAAATTTCTAAGAGGCTTTTATGTCAACCAGGCTGCACATATCATGTACTGACAGAAGCTTAGCTGTCTGCCAGAATATAGTCAGGATTTGCTTTTATCTCAGTGATAGCTCTGACGTTCTTATACGTGCTACTTACATAATTAATTCAGCACAATGAAACCACTGCGCTCCAATTACCGGCAGTTTTAGATCTTCGGTGCATTTCCCCCTCCCTGTCACCCCCTTTTTGCCCTCCCCAAAAGCTGATGCTGAAGGTTGCAGGATCCACACAGAGAAAAAAATCGCTTTGGTTGGAAATTTGCAGTGAGGCGAGATACAAATACGACAGATTATAATAAAGTCACATGGCCCTGCAGGTGGAAGGAGAGGCAATTTTGTCTCATTTCTCTCCCTCGCTGCAGGCCCCCGACTCGTGTGGCGCTGCGCAGCCTCGGGGATCAGTTTTTACAGGGTCAAAGGGGCTGAGAAGAAAAAGGAACATCAGCTTTCATGGGCGCATGGACAGCCGGCAGGATATGACACAACACGAAGAGCCAGTGCAGTGTGGTGGTTAGAGTGCTGGACTAGGATCTGGGAGACCCAGGTTCAAATCCCTGCTCTGCCAAGGAAGCTCACTGGGTGACCTTGGGCCAGTCACGCTCTCTACGCCTAACTCATCTCCCAGAGTTGTCCTGAGGGTAAAATGGAGGACAAAAGAATTACGTATGCTGGTTTGAGTCGCCACTGGGGATAAAGGTGGAGTATAAAGAAAGCAGATTAATAAACACAGGTAAAGGTAAAGGTTTCCCTTGCTCGAAAACCAGTCGAGTCCGACTCTAGGGTTGCGGTGCTCATCTCCGTTTCAAACCCGAAGAGCCAGCGCTGTCTGAAGACGTTTCCATGGTCATGTGGCCAGCATGACTAAACATCGAGGCGCACAGAACACTGTTACCTTCCCACTGAAGTGGTACCTATTTATCTACTTGCAATTTCTTGCTTTCGAACTGCTAGGTTGGCAGGAGCTGGAACTAGAGATGGGAGCTCACTCCGTCATGCGGCACCCTGGGTCTCGAACTGCTGAACTACCGACCTTCCACAGCCTGCAGTTCAGCGTCTTAACCACTTGAGCCACCGCAGCTCCTCTAATAAACACAACATGTTCATAAAATCATAGCGTTGGAAGGGGCCACTCAGTCCAACCTCCTTCTCAATGCAGGATCATGTTTTATGAAGACAATGGCTACCCCAGCTACTTAAGTCTAACTGAAGCTGACAAGCGTGCTTATTTACTTTGCCACACTTTTTACGGTCGTTTAAAATCCTGCGCAGAAATCTGGGAATATGCCTTTAAAAAAAAAAAAGACCAAGAACGAACAACCCACTGTCTGCATGTGCGGTCGGACGTGACCTCTCCCCCTTCCAGGGCTCTTTTTGTAGCAGGAACTCCTTTGCATATGAGGCGACACACCCCTCATGTAGCCAATCCTCCAAGAGCTTACAGTAGCCCCTGTAGGAAGAGCTCTGTAAGCTCTTGGAGGATTGGCTACATTAGGGGTGTGTGGCCTAATATGCAAAGGAGTTCCTGCTACCAAAAAGAGCCCTGCACCTTCCCAGTATTGCACCAAAACTGCTTTTTAACCTCTCCTCAGTGGCAAAAGTGGTTTGCCTTGAAGCTCCCCACAGAGAACTGACAGATGCGTATCTTGCAGGGTTTCATACGATGCCGCGGTTCTTCAGAACCTGACCCAATAATTTCCAAATGCACGGAAGTCATTATCTGATAAATCCTTATGCAAGTTACACTTCGCTCCTCCGTAAGAAACCACCCCTGTTCTTAGCTTTAAGCAGCAATATCTGAATCTGTCCTACTTCTTAGGGAACTCTGAAAAATTTCAGTCGTACAACGCACAATATTTACCATCCACAGAGCCAAATTCCCTTTCATGGGCACGAGTAAGGATCTCTTTGTATAAAGTTTCCGCTTGCTTAAATTTGCCTTGTTTCAGGTAGCAGGAGGCCTGGAAAAAACAACATGAACTTAGTAAGTTTTTAAAAAATAAAATAAAATTCAGTCTTCAGATATATGAAAGATTTATACGGTTATACTGAGCAAAGAAAAATGGATTGGATCCAAAGACACCTTTCACCTCACAGGAGGGCTATGTTACAGTTTAGCAATAGAGCAAGAGCAAGCACCATGGTACCCGCTGACACCTTTCTTGGGGTGCACCAAGTAATTTTAGAAGGGGGGGGGGGAGCTCTTGCCCAGCTGGGCTTCTGGTCAGCCACTGAAAATCTGATTGACTGTGCACATTAAAATAGCATTGTTTCAGTAGCAGCTGCCACCACAGTGTTTGTTTTATTTTTCACTCCTCTTTCCCAGTGTATTTTTTACTTACTCCTCCTCTCCCCTGCACTTGGGGTTTCCTCCGTGTTTGCGTGGCTCCGCCTCCAGCAGCCATTTTGTGGCTACGCCCACTACCTTGTGTCAGAATTCCAAAGGTGCCTAAAGACTCAAAATGGCTGGGGGGGGGGGGGGTCCCTTGCACTAGAGCGCTGAGCAAGAAAGGTGAAACTGAAGCCAATGATGTATTACCTTTCTTGCTCCAGCACTGCAAATAGCTCTTCTAGCTCTTGCACGAGCGTTTGTTCGGCAGCATTAGCAGCTGTTCCCCATTCTTTGGCGCCAGCCCCCTTATTTTCGGCAAATGAAGAGTTATCTACAGCAGCTCGTTTCTCATTGTTTAAAAAACCATACAGCACAAACATACCAAATTGTTCTTCGTTTTTGCTACATTTGGATCATCTGGCCCCAGTTTTGTTTGGTAGATCTCCAGCGCCCGCTGGTAGTAGTATTCCACTTCTTCATATTTACCCTGGTTCTGACATAGCAAGGCCAGATTATTTAGCTGTTTGGCAACGTCTGGATGATCTTTTCCCAGCACCTACAAACAAAAGGTACATATGTTTAACACCTGCCCAACATGCCATTTAAAAGACAAGGCAGAGGCTATATTATTTACACTATTGTCACTTAGCATTTTTGACAGCAAAATTGTGTATTTATGATAATGGTCATGAATGCAGATGTCCACAGGAGAAGGCTCCACCACATGACTGCAATTAACCCACACGTGAACGTGACTGGCAGCCTCCAATCTAGGGCATCCGGAAAACTCCAAAGGTTGCAGCAGTTCTGATACAGCCCTTTCAAGTCAGGTTAACTGCAGAGCAGGTTGGGCATTCCCTATTTTAAACCAGGCCGCTCACTCTAATTCTATTCCACCCAGGAGTGTTCAATGTAGATATTTTTTGTGAGGAAGGGAATAAGTTTAAGCATTGAGCTTCGTTAGCAAGGGTCACAGAGAAGGGGGCCACCACCCAGTTCTTTCTTCTCTGAGTTTCCTGGCTGCTCTCAACCATGGACAAGTTTGGGGCACCTTCCTCCTTCGCCTCCTCTTCCTTGGTCTTTGATATGCAGCTTTTCAGCTACGTTAATTGCCTGGATCCCTTGCCTCCTGGTCTTATTTATGAAGATGTTAAGTGCAACTAGTCCTGAAGACCAGGATTGGCTCAAAGAGGTTCTGATCTACTAACAGTGGAGATCTTCAAGGGTGAAAGGTGCCTTCATCCAATGGAGCACGCCTGTTCCAGTGAAGGGAGCATCCACAGTCAGTGGAACAGAACCTTCTTTTTATCTAGTCCACTACTCTTGAAGGCATTAGAATGTACTGCAGCAAGGTACTACAGGAAAACACGCTCCCAAAGTTAGTGTTACAACCATTTGTGGAGTCTGCTGGAAAAAAACAAATCTTATCTGAAAGGTCCTCCTGTCATCTCAATTCCTTGTCATGTTACAAAAAGAAATCCTGTCCTTCAGCGAAGTTATTGCATTATCTTCAAGATACATCTGCAGGATTTTGTCAAAATAAACTAGAAGCTGAAGAAGAGTGCATGCACATGAAAGCTTATGCCCAGAATTAAACTTTGCTGGTCTTAAAGGTGACACTGGACTCAAAGCGTTGTTTAATTATTCACATAACTGCTAGTTTAACACCCACACACACAGAGCTGATACGAAAACAGTGTGCCTCAGGAGTGCAAACTGCAGAAAGAAAACAATGCAGCAGTACTGTTACCTTCTCTCTAATCTCCAAAGCTCTCTTGCATAAAGGCTCAGCCTCCTTGTACTTTCCTCTTTTTCCATAAAGCACTGCAAGGTTGTTTAAAGTTGCTGCGACCTGCAAAAAAGGCAAACATATTTGCTGCTGAAAGGATGAGGAAAGCGGTCAGTTTCTAATTTACAGTTTATTCACTTGTTGATATATTGGGTTGGAGCTTATGCATCACTTCCTCCCACAAGGGGAGACTTTCTCACGTGCAAGAGGTAGAAGGCATGGCCTTTGACCCACACGGGTCCCCCCATGCCACAATATCACCTTTTGGGGAATTCATGGGTGGTGATGGGGGAAGGGAAAGCAGGGAAGACCTGGCTCTACCAGTGCCTCCCACTGGTGCTACATAGTCTAAGTTCCTAGCAGTATTTTTGGTGGATCCTGATAATTAAGTGTTCTTTGAACATGCCCAAAAGTTCTATCTTTTAAAAAAATGTTTGTCATTTTTGATACATTTAATTATGATGAACAGTTAAAAGACATTTGGGCCCCGAGGGGGGGAAGCGTAGTTGTTTGCCCCGGGGCAAAATAACACGCGGTTGCGCGAGCAGACGTCCCGTGGAGGTCCCGTGGTTAGGGGGGAGGAGCCGATCACAGGACAATCCTGCGGCGCTGCAAAGAAGCGGGGCTGCGGGGCAAACGGGGTTGTGTTTTGTTTTTTTTAAACTAAAGTGTGCGCATGCTCCGTTGGGTGCTTGTGCGCATCCGTGGAGACTTGGGGGAAAAAACCTTTTTGCGAGGGGACATGGGCGGGCGCCGGAACTACCACGGGAAACATGATCAGACGCCCGCCCATGCCCCACAGTTTCCGGAAACTAGTACCTCGGAGGTACTAGTTTTTTACAGCGCATCTTCTGAGTGAAGCCTCGGGTGAGCCATGGGAGCTCTACACTTCCCAGATGTGGCGGTGAGATCGCGCCCGGAAAATCCGCCTATCTTCCGACTCTCTAGTGTGCCTAATGCTCCATGTGACCGCAGCCTTGGTAACCTTTTTTCCTTTCATTTTTTTGACATGCATTGATCCCCCTGAGGAAGCTCAGTATGAAACATGTAGGGGGTCATTAACATATTGGAATAAAATTTTCTTCCTGCTGCACCATCGGTTTGTCTTTGTCTCTTTGCCTCCTGAACAGTTTACTTTAGAAGAAAAACCAAGTTACAGAAGGAAAAACCTCTTATCGTCCCGCAGGGCCTGTAAAACAGAGCTGTTCCGCCAGGCCTTTGGTTGAGGTGGTGGGCGTCCAGAAAAATAGTCGGCCTCCCCTGCTGAAGACACCATTTTTATGCGGCCCAGATTAAACAGACTTAGAATCCAGTGGCACCAGTACTTTACTTTAATTTTTTAATGAACTATTTATCATTGCCTTTTGTGATGCCGAATGGCCTAATTATTTGTTGTGATCCGTCCTGAGCCCATTCACGGGGAGGGCGGAATATAAATTTGAAAAATGATGCCCAACCTTTGGCATCTGCATATATCACCAGTGAAGATAATTCTCATTTTTTCATCCTAATAAATAGAAATCTGTACACCACAAAGGCTCAGAATATCAAACTTTGACCAGAAATCCTGTCTCCTGCCTACTTCACAGACTGCAGCAAGCATGGAGTAAGACTTCCTAGAAAGAGGACCTGGGCTATTTGCTCAAAAGGGCTGGCCCAGAGACTGAGAAATTTATCAGGATAATCTTCTGGTCAACACGTAAGCCATCAGCTACAGGATGGTGAGCACTGGGCTAGTCCCTTAAAATAGTAGATGCACATATTTGCTGAACATGCAGAAAAACATTATTTGTGGGAGTATCAACAGCAGGAAACCGAGCGAAGCAATTACTGAATCCCCTTCTGCAATATACAGTATGAAGGCATTTATCACTGGATTAGAGGCGACGAGAGTAAGCCACTTAAGCCACATAAATGTTTCATCATTATTTATAAATGAGCAGCTCCATCAGGAATTCAGCGGCACTTCTGATTCATGCCTTGGAAATCTGGAGCACACTCGAAGTGTGCAAACTGATTCAGAATCAGACAAGTATTATGCAATTTCTGTGCAGAAAATCTGTTTGGGAGATCTGCAATTAGTTATTAGAAAAGCAAGGTGCTTCATTGCAGCCCCCTACCTGAACGGTGTTAAACGAGAAGCTGGGACATTTAAAAACCTTCCTGTTAAGTTCAATATTAAAATGAGTTTCAAAGGGGGAAAAGTTAGTACTAGAGAAGGGAAGGGGGAGAACAAGAATGGAAGTGACAGATATACAAACCGCTGGATGATCTTTGCCCAAGGTCTTCTCGCGAATAGCCAAGGCATCGTTCAATAAGTTTGCGGCATCCTTGTATTTATTCTGGTCCCTAAATTAGGAAAACAAGAGAGAGTCACGAGTAACCCCCTATTTTATAACATTGTTACTCGTCGTTTAAGCTTTAAAATAATGACTAACAGACAGGACCAACTTCAGCATACCAAAGACACTGCCCAGGATTCAGTGCAGAGTCTACTCTTTTCAAATCTGTATCCAAGAAACTGTCTTCTTCAGTGGATCTACACAACAGTGGCTGCCAACTAGAGTGAACGGCACAAAGCTAGAAAACAGATTTGGGTGACGGGCCAAGGCTGTCCGTCACCTCTCTGTCAAGCACAAACTACAAGCTACTGGGAGGTACCATAAATATTTTAGCCACTTCTTCACTGGTCTAAGCCAGCATGGGAGCACCATAAGCATCAGCCTGTGCCGAGCCACAGAACAATCTTCTGCAGTTTGGATTCAGTTCATGGGCCCCTAAGCGGCCAACCACAGCTGATGCAAAAACTACCAGCCGCTCAACTCAAAAATGCCTGTAAATGTTATCTGAGGGATGATTATACCTTCGGGACTCTCTCTCCACGTATTTGCCCCGGAGAGCTTTGCGCTCTGCAGGCCAACATCTACTAGTAGTCCCTGGCCCAAAAGACATCCACCTAGCCTCAACCAGGACCAGGGCCTTTTCTGCCCTGGCCCCGGCCTGGTGGAACGCACTCCCAACAGAAATCAGGGCGCAGAGGGACTTGTTACAGTTCTGCAGGGCCTGTTAAAATGGAGCTGTTCCGTCAGGCCTTTGGGTGAGGCAGCGGATATCTTCACCATCTCGCCCCCCCCTTGCCCACAGTAAGCTACAGATGCTTACTATCTTGCTAACATCTCACAGGAAGCATATTGGACTGCTCTGGAGCCATGTATGTTTCCTTGCTGCCATCTTGTTTTTATTTAACTGGGTTTTAATTATATATCTATTGCATTTTATTTATGTTGTAAAAAAAAGTAAAAAGGTAAAGGTTCCCTTGCTCGAAAGCCAGTCGAATCCGACTCTAGGGTTGCGGTGCTCATCTCCGTTTCAAAGCCGAAGAGCCAGCGCTGTCCAAAGACATTTCCGTGGTCATGTGGCCGGCATGACTAAACACCGAGGCGCGCGGAACGCTGTTACCTTCCCACCGAAGTGGTACCTATTTATCTACTTGCAATTTCTTGCTTTCGAACTGCTAGGTTGGCAGGAGCTGGAACTAGAGACGGGAGCTCACTCTGTCATGCGGCACACTTGGGTCTCGAACTGCTGAACTACTGACCTTCCACAGCCTGCAGTTCAGCGTCTTAACCACTTGAGCCACCGCAGCTCCATTTATGTTGTAAACCGCCCTAATCCCACCATGGGATAGGGCAGGATATAAATATAATAAATAAATATGCAACCGACTCCCTCGGAAGGAGAAGGAGAAAGGAGTTTTTTAAAGAGGGACAGAAATACATCCCGAAACTGCAGGAGTACAGAGTGTCACCATCAGCTAATAAATAATTGCAACCACATCAATGTTTTATGTAACAGTGGCTGTGGACAAAGGTCTTTAGACAAAGGGGGGGGGAGAAAAGAGTTGAGTGTACCAACCTGTACACCAATGCAAGTATATTCAACATAGTGGCGACATCAGGGTGATCGTGGCCTGAAGTCTTCTCCAGGTCTTCAAGTGCTTGCTTACAGAGGGGTACGGCAACCTCGTATCTGCCTTGGGATGCGTACTGAATGACAAGGTTGTGAAGGGTCCTTAATCTTGCAGGAATCTCATAGCCACCCTGCTGGGCAGCAGCTGCCGCACTGCTATGTGGCTGTTGCACTGGGGGGGAGGGGGGGAATAAAATATGATTTAAAAATTTCATGACTAAGAAATACACATATGTTCAAGCAGTATTAGCATCAAAGAAATGAACCTCATTAAGATGTGCATTTTAAATATGTTAGATCGAAGACGTTGTTGAATTCCATAAGCCCATTAAAGCCAGTGACGCTATTCCTGTTTGAGAACACACCTTCTCGTGTATATTGTGACTCTGTGAGGCAAAGTTTGGGCGGGGTGGTGGTGTTTCCCCTCCCAGTTATCCTTGACCCCAAAACAAGAATTGCTGAAGAACGACACAGGATCTCTTTCCATTTCATGGGAAAGTAAGGATCTGCAAATTTAGTTGCCACAGCAAGTGTCTCCACCATTATCTTAAAAAAATGCATATTGAAGTAGAGTTCTGAAATGCTCACTAGAAATTTCTGCTAGTCAAAATCCTGTCCATAGCCCTTTTTACTCTCTTAGGCAACCCAACTATGCCCTGATGATGTAGCTATCCTTTTATGCTAGGGTACAATGCAAAATGTCTTACGGCAGTCTAGGAATTAAAACTAGTACCTTCAATATATTTTAAATTAAATCACTTTAATTTCACTTACTTCCTTGCCCTTGGTCATCCTCATCATTGGGGAACAAATCATCCAATGGTTCTTTGGTCGAGTCTGAGTCTTTATCCTCCTAAACAACACCCCAGAAATCACAGATTGTTACAATTATCAAACCAAACCAAATTATACACGTGTGCATTGCAAAAGACAATACTTGTTTTGTGTCAAAAGATGTCCAGGTGTGCATACATTTTGGCCTCTCTATTTTCACTTCAACCTGTGGAACCCAAGACTGTTACTAAGGGAGAATCTTACACATTATCTCCTGGAATGTAATCATGAAGGACATATAAGTACCTTGCTCATTTTATGATTAAAAGTTTGTCTTTTATCTGAAAAAAAGTAAGACACATCATGAAAATACTAATTTGCTTTTCTTTGGGAGCAGAAAAGTTCCAGTTTCTTTTATATACATAAAGCATGACTGTGTCACAGTACATGCAGAGATTCTGAACTAGATACTACATGCCTTGACAAATTCTCTTTGGCTTTACGAGCCACCCCAAAAATGTAGCAGCCAGACTAATTTTTCAGCCTTCAGGATTTTATATGCTAATGGCTATACTTTCTAATTATTGCTACTGGAGAACTCAGTCCTTTGTCTTCTTTTTTTTTTAAAGCTACAATGAAAGTATGGTAGCATAAAAATAAATATGGAGAAACCCTGATTGTCATCACGCCAAAAAACTTTTATCCCTCATCTAAATAAGCTTTGTACTTCCACTGAGAATAACCAAGAGCCACTTACAATAGAGCGGCTAGCTGAAAATACCAGGTGCTCCAATGAAATTCCTAGGCAATCTAGCACCTAGGATTTATTGCGCCCTGTGATGATACTGACTGTATATATGGGTTTGTCTGTTACTGAACAATAGTAGTAGTAATAATAATAGTACAAACAAAGCTGCCTTGAGCCAAGGGGAAAGGTGGGGTACAAATATTTTAATAAATAATTACTTATTCTGTGCCCCTTTCCAGGTAACTACCAGGAAGATGGCATCAGCTATCCATAATTCCTGTTTAATGAGGAACTGATCACAGAAAAACTAGACTTATCCAGGATTTATTATTAAAAATACAAACCTGACATATCACTGAGAGTTGGTCTGGATTAGGCATGGGTTCTATCCAGTTACCAATGGAAAACTAACAGGCAGGGGTAAGGAGCAAAGTCACTTGAAAATACATGGATGTCATTTAACATCCCAGGCTCCTCACTCCTCAGAACACATTTATGGAGAGTTTATACCTGATACTGGGTTCTAACAACCAACTGAGAATACCAGTTTGGCACTGCTCTTCAATACCCAGCAGATCCCTAACTGAACTATTGGAGGTAGTCTCAGAATCTGGTGTTTAACAGTCTGGTCTAAAGTATTAGCCCTGAGGGAGTCCAATAACCATGCTAAGACCACTCTGGATGGTACAGCTGGGGACCTGATAGCTACCATGAAAGCACTGGGACATGACTAGACAGATCATTATTTGGAGAAATTCGGAGTATCGGCAGCTTCCAAACAGCATGAAGGGTGGGGGCATTCAGATGGTCGATTCCTGGCAGATGACTGATCCCCTTTGTGTTCAAATTGTCCTTGGGGATTTAATGGTGGCTACTTCTCATTGTCAGTAGTCATGTATGGCTGCGAGAGTTGGACTATAAGGAAGGCCGAGCGCCGAAGAATAGATTCTTTTGAACTATGGTGCTGGAGAAGACTCTTGAGAGTCCCTTGGACTGCAAGAAGATCAAATCAGTCAATCCTAAAAGAAATCAACCCTGACTGTTCCCTGGAAAGCCAGATAATGAAACTGAAGCTCAAATACTTTGGCCACCCAATGAGAAGGGAGCACTCACTGGAGAAGACCCTGATGCTGGGAAAGATTGAAGGTCAAAGAAGATGGGGACGGCAAAGGATGAGATGGTTAGACAGTGTCATAGATGCAACGAACATGAAATTGAGCCAACTTCAGAGGACGGCGGAAGACAGGAAGGCCTGGCGTGATCTGGTCCATGGGGTCACGAAGAGTCGGACTCGACTGTGCGACTGAGCAGCAACAACTTCTCATTGCAGTGTCAAAGCCCAAGCCTATCTCTAAAACTAAGGGGATGACCAATCCAGATGACAAATAGCTCTTAAAAGTTCTTCCATGCTTGCTAGAGCTTGTGCTGTTCCACAGGGTAAAGAAAAGACTGCAAGCAATGAAACAGCAGAGGTGAGTGGCAGAACAAAAATAGAGGAACCCTTAATATGTTATAAGATCATTATTTTTTTTCCTTACAAGTTTGTCACAGTATGCATCCATTGGTGACATTATAGGTGAAGTTGGTGGGCTAATTCTTGTTTTTAGTGACCACAAAATTTTCAGTAAACTGTCTCTAATCATATGGTCTTTGCGTTTCATTGCAGTTTTTGGTGTTTTCCCGTTTTTTCTTAATCCAAAGATGACTGTGTAAACCTTCAGTCAAATCTGCTGTTTCCAATTTCATCAATCTTTCATTTGGATTTTTAATCCAGTTAGAAACCCAAACCAAGCCAGCTGTTTGTAATACAACTTAACATTGGATACTGCTAGGTCTCCTCAGTTTTTTTCATCCTGTAACACTTTAAATCTAACTCTTGGTTTCTTCCCATTCCATATAATTGTATTTATTTGTTTTTGCCAGCTTTTTAGTGTCTTATCTTGTATATCAATTGGGAGCATCTGGAATAAAAAGTTTATTTTTGGCGAAATGTTCATTTTTATTGCAGAGATTTTTCCGAGTCATGACAATTTTAATTTAGACCATCTTTCCAAGTGTTTTTGTCGTTTCTTCCAGATTACATCGTAGTTATCTTTAAATAATGTATCTTTTCCCCAGACACATTTATTCCTAGATATTTAATTGAATCAATTATGAAATCACATCCTGTAAATGTCTTAATATTGTCCACTTCCTGTTTTGTTTAAAAAATTGGATTATTTTAGTTTCCCCCCTATTAATTTCCAGAGAAAGAACCAAACTTTTCTATGTGCTCCATGACATATTGTATTGAATTTTTGTGGATTTAGCATAATCAAAACATCATCCGCATAACTTTCTAATTTGAATTCTTCATCAATTTTCAATCCTTTGACATTCTGATCTTGTCTAATTCTGGAGAAAATTTTTTCCATTGCATGAATAAATAATAGTGATAGAGGGCATCCTGGTCTCATCCCCTTTTCAATCTGAAATTCATCTGTTAATAATCCATTAATTAAAATGTTTGCATGTTGCTTCATATAAATACCTTGAATCCAATTCATAAATCTGAGTCCACATCTAAATACTGTAGTACTCTTTATTTTAGTTATACATTTCTTAAGCCTTTTTGCCATTATTGAGGCAAAACGTTTATAGTCCACCATTCAGCAATTATACAGGTCTATAAGATTGTGGTAACATCGGATCAGGAATCAATGTTATGTGTGCTTCCTGCCAGGATTGAGGCAATATTTTCTTTTCCATATTTCAGCCATAACTTTTTGAAGTGGTAAAATTATCTCTTTTTCCAAACATTTGTAAAACATTGCCATCAAGCCATCTGGGCCTGGAGCTTTACCTTTTTTCAACTTTATTGCTTGTGAAATCTCTTGTATTGTAATATTTTGATTCAGAACATCTCTATCTTCTTTCGTAAATTTAAGTATGAATGCTTCTTTTAAATACTCTTCTACTCCTTCCTCAGTTAAGTTTTCTTTCTTATAGAGTTGAGAAAAAAAGAGTGAATTGTTCATGTATGTCTTGCTGTTCGTAAGAAATTTCATCTAACTTTTTGACTCCAGTTATTGATCTTCTTTCACGTTCTTTTCTTAAACAATATGCCAAGTAACGTCCAGGCTTATTTGCATGTTCAAAATATTTTTATTTAATAAAACATGATTTCTTCTGCATTTCTTCTATCTCTATCAAATTGGTTTTTCAGTTGTTTGATTTCTTTTAGAATTATTTTTTGCGATGTCTTTTTATGCTGATCTTCCAGTATTTGAATTCTTTTATTTTCTTGGTTCTTTCAATTTTTTATTTCTTTTTCTTTGAAGCAATCGCAATGAGGTTTCCTCTCATATAGGCTTTGCTTGCCTCCCAGATTGCTGTAATAGATGCACCGTCTGTAATATTCAATTTTAAAAATTCTGCTACGTCTTTTTACATTTCGCAATTATGTCTTGTTGGATCAAAAGATCATAATTTAGTCTCTATCTTCTTTTTCCCAATCTTCTTCCTTGCCAGAATATTAGTAATGGATTGTGGCCTGCAAACATCTTCGGTTGAATCTCAGCATTCTTCAGATTCGTGATTAGTCTTGGACATCCAACACATATCAATTCTAGAATGTTTAATGTCTGTCAGAGTAGAAAATATAGTTTCTAGATTTTGGATTAATCAATCTCCACGCATCAACCAAATGCAGCAACTCAATATATTGGACAACATTCTTATGAAGTCTACCCCCTTTTGTCTTCTTGGATTTATCCTTTTTAGGATCCAAAACTCCATTCATGTCTCCAAAAATCATAATCTCGCCTTCTCGGAAGCTTTTGAAAAAAATTATCATAAAATTTTTCTTTGACATTGTTTGGAGCATATAGTGATACAAGAGTGTAACTCCTGCCATAAGGAAGTCTAATTTTCAACATTATGAATAATGATTTTATATCATATCAAGACATTATCAATTCACAAGGCGAAATTAAATCCTGGCAGGTATTTAAAGAAGAAGGGGGAAAGAAAGTATGACTTAAATAAGCAATTTGTGCAGAAAGAGACAATTTAAGAGATCTGATTGAATTTGAACAAAAAATGTGAACAAAAAAGAACATCTTCTAGGACACATTTATAAATTTCTATTTCAATATGATACAGAAATGGAACAAGTCAAGGCATGTATGGTGAAACAGACGCAGAATTCTGATGAAGAGATATCAATCCAGCAATGGGAAAACTTGTGGATGAAAGATATAAAATTTACTGCAAGACAAGCACTAAGAGAAAATTAGTATAAGACATTTTTTCGTTGATGGACGTCTTCTATCATATGTGGTGATTCTGTAAAAAGACTAGCAAATTTTGGAAAGAAATATATGCTGATATTCAGAAAAGCTTGAATTTAAAATTTGCCATGAAATCTGAGAGTTGATGATATCTGATCTTTGGGGCAATATGCTCCTGTGATGACCTCCAGTGACATGTGTGAAAAGATAAAAGCCCTTATGTATATTCCCACTAGTCTTACATACTTACAGATGCAAACAATAAAGTATGTATGGCCCCTTAACTTATCACAACTGTTTGGATGTATTTCAATTGTTCTTGCTGCTGTCCATCTAACAAACGTCTTGCCGCTGTCCATCTAACAGTCTCTGTATTGGATCTGTGTCGAGCCTGGCCAATTCTATGTGCCGAGAATGTATCTGACTCAAGATGGGGTATAGTCAAGAAAGACCAGAGTGGCCTTGGGACCACTCCAAGAATCAACACTTACTTTGAAAAGCCCTTTTCAGATGCTTCTGGTTGGAATATTACAGATTAAGTTGGAATATTTCACTCAGGAGCAAGGTGATAGAACAAGTTAGCCACAACTTATCTTGGATAAAGTGGATTTGGACCCATTTCATTCTTGCTTCAAGCCTACATCTGGGACAAACTACTTTGTTTATTCTGGTTATGACCTTCAGGAGGAGCAAGATGGAAGTACACCCCTGAGCACGGTAGACCAATTTCAGGGTATTTCAAAAAGAATACCAAATATGTGCAGGGGCAATTTTGCTGAGCTGAATGTCACTATTCTTCAATAAAAGAGCTTCAAAAGAAAACTGCAGTGTGAAATGACTGAACTGGAGTTCATCAAAAGGTTTTACTTCTGAAGAAGAACCTGGGATTTCTTATTCACTATAGGTGTTAACTACCTTGGCAGATCCCAAGACTCCCCACCCATTACAGGTGTCAACTAGCTTAACATAACTACTTAAATAGTCTCTGTATTTTTTGTTAACTATGTAGTTAACTACAGTCACACTCCACACTGTACCGCCTGCATTTCACAATTCCTTGACCTGCTGTTTATCCCCCCTACCCCACCCTTTTCTGGTCCACCTACAAGAATCCAGTATAGTACACCTGAAGTTGGTGGCCACAAAAACCTATGCTGGAATAAAAATGTGTTAGAAGAGTCCTATTTATTTTTGTCACAACAGACTATCATGTCTACCTCCATAATCAATAACCACACAATATCTGTATCTATGCACAAACCTTCCAAAGTAGCTGCCATGTTAGGAGTCTCACCCACTACAGGTGAGAATCAACTTAGCAGAACTAGTGAGTTTTTAATCACTAAATACTATTGTGAATGGTCATGATGCTGTTCTTGAATACACCTGGAGTTCATATAAATACCACGTGCCGTACTTTTTGCATTTCATTATCCTTTGATCTTGCTGGGCATACAGATTAAAGTGGTAAAAATGCATTGGATTGATTATGCATCTGGTGAACTGAGCTACAGTCCTCACAAAGTCTGCACCACAAATAGGTCTTTAAAAGTGCCATGAAGACTCGCACTGTTTTGTTTTGGTTTTGCTACTGATGAAATGTTAAGTAGCAAGTGAAAAAACCTGCAATTTCTTTAGCAGAGCAAAAGTCAGAAAGGACAGATTTTAAAAATACAGCTACTTACTGAAGGGGAAATATCGTCATCGTATTTCTTTAACTGGTTCATGAATTCTAAGTGCTTCTTTTCTTCCTCCAGCTGAGCCACAGACTGCTCACTCTTCTGCAGCTTCTGCTGAGTGTTGGCCAGCTCATCCCTCAGCCACTGGTTTTCCTGGCAGAGCCTGCGAACCTGAGCACGTAATTTCTGCTTCTCTGACTCCACGGCGTTTAAGTGATTCGACAAGGCCATCATTACCTAAAAAACGTACCAGAGAAGATATCATTCTGTTTCTATCTTATTTGTAACTTAGCATCAACTGCCTTTCTGCTTTACAACAAAACATTTTTTTCCAAATCTTATTGTTAGAAGGTGTGGCGGAATGGGCCTATGTCAGCTGGCAAGCCCCGCTCTGCCCACCCCGGCACCTGAAGGGGAAGTTCTTCTTCACTGCCTCCGGGTATTGCTGCCACCACTGTCCCTCTCTTGGGCTCTGGTTAGGCGGGACAGCCTCCTAACCTCCCTCCGGTGTCCCTAGGAACCCACCCTGCGGCTTCCTGGCAACCTTTGGGGCTCCCCTGGAGAACTGGCAACTGGCCATTTTGCCCCATGTTCTCCTCCCTAGGGAATCCCCAACCCACCCCTAGCGTACCCAAGCAGCTGGGGGAACTCGGTGGTGCAGAGGGATCTCACTCCTTTATCATTTAAAGGATTTATTTGAAAACACGTAACTATTTACAGGCATACAGTGAACTAAAGACTCAAAAATAAAGGTGACAAAACCACTCCATCTCTCCCTTCTCTACACTCATACCATGTCTGGATGGTCTGTAAGGCAGACACATTACTTCATTTAACTGGAGAAGGTTAGATCAGCATGTCTCCCAACATGGCCTCTGAAGCCAGTCAGACTTTTGGTTGGAGTCTGCAGGAGGCAGACTTCTCACAGACCTAACTTGCTGCTGATAGACTCACTTCCTGCCCAAAACACCCTATCTAAAAACCTTTATTTTCAGTGTACGTTATTAATATTGCCTTCTGTGGAGAAACGCCATTTGTGGATGTGTTGAAGTTGGTGTGGGCTGGATAGGAGGCGGCCATCAAACTGGAGGTAGGCGTGGGTCTAGTCTCCTCCTCATTCCCCCTCTCTCCTCCTGTCTCCAACCAGCAATCTGAGGGGAATAACGAGGAGACTAGACCCAGGCCTACCTCCAGTTTGATGGCCTCTTCCTATCCAGCCCACACCAACTTCAACACGTCCACAAAATGGCGTTTCTCCACAGAAGGCAATATTAATAACCTACACTGAAAATAAAGGTTTGCTTTTGTGCTTTATGTTTACCTGTGCTTCACTGAGTCCAAGTTCCAGCATCTCCAGAGACTTGCGAATCATGTTTGATTTTTCTTCCACCAGATTGGTCTCATCATCTTTCTTCAAACACTTAAGTGTCTCAAGTAAACTCTGTAAAATGGAATTGTGCTCATTCTTCAGTGCTTCTAATCCCTGAATCACTTGCTTCGTCTTAGAAATAATTTCATCCTGGGTGAGCTTCTCCAACTTGTCTTCCTTTAGATACACCATTGTGGACATGTTGTCATACATTCTGAGGAGGAGGAAAAAAACAGAAAACCAACAATTTTTAGGAGCTTATCCATTCTGCAATGGAGCTTTATTATAATAATAGTTAAGCGCCATCAACCCATAACCAGTGTTCCCACTAAGCTGAGTTAGTGTGAGCTAGCTCACAGTTTTTTAGCCTTCGGCTCACACATTTTTGTCTTGGCTCAGGAAGCACACTAATTTATGTGGTAGCCAAATTGCTTGCTCACAACTTTAATGCCAGTGGCTCACAAAGTAGAATTTTTGCTCACAAGACACCACAGCTTAGAGGGAGCATTGCCCATAACCCCTCAAGAGTTTTTTCAAGGCAGGAGATGAGCAGAGGTGGTTTGCCATTGCCTGCCTCTGCATAGCAACCCTGGTCTTCCTTCTTCCAGCCCTGGTCTTTCCCACTTCTTTACACAGAGAGTGATTAAAATGTGGAATTCACTACCAGAGGATGTATGGATGACCACAGGAATAAACAGCTTTAAAGGGGATTAGACAGATTCATGGAGGATAGGGCTATCAGTGGCTACTAGCCATGGTGACTGCGGGGAACCTCTGCATTCAGACGCACTAAACCTCTGAATTCCAAAGCCAGGAGGTAACATCAGGGGAAGGCCTCAGCTTCTATGCCCTGTTGTTCGCCCTCCAAAGGAACTGGTTAGCCACTGTGTGAATCATGATGCTGGACTAGATGGACTACTGGTCTGAGCCAGCAGGGTTCTTCTTTCATTCTTATGTTCCTTGGTGGTCCCCCATCCAAGTACTAACCATGGCCAACCCTGCTTAGCTTCCAGGTTCTGACGAGCTTAAGCAAGTCTGGGTCATTTTAAAGCCTTGTAATTCAATTTTGTCTCTGAATATACGCGCAACATTTCATTCCAGTGCTTACAGTACTGTCGCCAAGATAATTAGAATATACCAGTATAATCAAGCTCAACAAAACCAGTCAAAACCTAATTGCACAGTGGAAATCAAAACTTTTTAACTGTTTATCTAATTCCATGTACATCCCATCTCTCTCCACAGTGGGAACCTGAAGTGGCTGACATTGGTCTCTTCTCTTCCATTTGAATCCCCACAACAATTACTCTCAGAGATAGGTCAGGCTGAGTGTGTGTGACTGGTCACCCACCAAACATCCATAGCAAAGAGGGGATTAAAATCTGGGAGTCTCCCAGATCCTAGCCCTACGCTACTCTACACCACACTAGCTCTCACTAGGAAACCTTTGCTGATACTCTCTTGTTCCCGAGTATTCAGCAGAGTTTGTTCACACATATTAGAAGAAGAGAAAGAGATTGGATTTATACCCCGCCCTTCACTTGGAGTCTCAGAGCGGCTTACACACTCTTCTCCCTTCCCCTCCCCACAAGAGAAACCCTGTGGGGTAGGTGGGGCTGAGAGAGCTCTTTCCAGAACTGTCCTTGAGAGAACAGCTCTTAAAGAACTATGGCTTGCCAAGGTCATCCAGCAGCTGCAAGTGGAGGAGTGGGGAATCAAACCCGGTTCTCCCACATTAGAGTCCGCGCACTTAACTACTACACCAAACTCTGGAACTCTCTCCCCAGGGAGATTTGTCTGTCTCCTTCTGCTGCCATCTTCTGCCAGCGTGTGAAGACTTTTTTTTGTTTCCCTTGGCATTCCCTCAGTGATTCTTATTTCCTGCCCAATGTGTTGTTGTTTTTTGTCTTTGTATGTTTTTTAGCTCTGGTTTTAATTGTGTTAATGATAATGCTGTTGCGGGTTGGTTATAATAGCTTTAACATGTGATTTATTATATGTGTTCTAATTTGTTAGCTGCCCAGATGACCCTTTTGAGGGCAGGAAATATAACTTGTGTAAAATGAAATAGGTTAGGTTTTCTCTAAAAGAACAAGCAATAAAAGCGTGATTTTGAGAGTTTAAGAGTAGAGGAAGAATACTAGATTCAGTTTTGGGGCACACTCCACCCTCAACCACATTGTCTTAGTTACCCCCCACAACCAGGAGAGTTTAAAGCAGGTTTAAATTCAGCCCACTAAATGCCAATACACATCCCAATCCTCCTCTTCGCCAGTAATAAAGGAGAATAAATGCTTGGTCTTTAAATATTAAGAAAAGGGAGGTGGAGTAAGCAATGCCATAATGAAAAGCATGGTATGAACTAGTGACTGTAGCACCTATGCCGATATGCTGTTTTTTATTCAAAATTGGACAGGGGAGATGAGAAGTGGGGCTGTGGCTCAGTGGCAGAGCACACACTCGGCATGCAGAAGCTCCCGGGTTCAATCCCCGGCATCGCCAGTTAAAGGATCTGGCAGGAGGCGATGTGAAAGAACTCTGCCTGAGATGTTGGACAGCTGCTGCCAGTCTGAGTAGACAATACTGACTTTGATGAACCAAGGGTCTGATTCACTATAAGGCAAATTCCATGTGTTCATATGGTTCATGTGAGCCCTTTCATAAAGCTCGATGCTGTGCCTTAGATTAAGTTAGACCATTGATCTCTCAAGATCAGTATTGTCTCGCCTTACTGGCAATGGCTCACCAAGGTGTCAGGGAGAAGACCTTCTACATCAGCTACAACCTGAACCCTTTAGCAGCAGATGATGGGCACTGGACCTGGGATGCAAAGCAGCAACTATACCACTTAGCCAGCTGTAGTAATTATCTCAGTCTCACAGAGCATGCTTAATCACAGCAACTTCTTCCTGC